CTTCTCCCCCTTTCTGTGTTTATGTTGTGGTCTGTTCGCTGTCAAAGGCTCTCTCTCAGTAGGTGGAGCAAGGAGGTCCCTATTAAAAAAGCCTAATTGTCCGGTGTCTGCTGCAGTTGTGGTTGGAGACGCTGGTGGCTTTTCTCCCCCTTCTTCCCCGTGCAAGGAGGCATGCTGTGCTAAGAATTGGACTGCTCTTTCTTTTCTGTGTGTGGAGGGGGATTGGGGGTTGGGGGTGGAATGAAGAGTAACGTTGAGTATAGAGCATCAGAGGATGACAGGACCTTAAAAGCACAGCGTCGAGGATGCTGGGCAAGGAGTTTATTCCTGGTTACTTCTTGGAGATGCGCTTTCTGAAAGTCAGGAGATGTAGAGGGAGAAAGGTGTACGTGGAAGGATACTCTTGTATGTAGAGTGCTTGGCTTGAAAGGTGTGATCCAGGGGTCAGCGGGGAAGGGGAGGGATGGAGGAAGGGGGTGGTGTCTTTGAAATTGCAGGTTTGGTGTCTCGGGGGTGGATTGGGAAGAGGGTGATGTATAGAAAAGCTAGAGCATTCATTCAGAAGAATAGGATACACCCCATGGGGGTTGTTCCATCACCCCAGGGAAGGGACCGGAAGAGGAGTCCCAAATTTGGGGAGGGGCATTCTTTAGAGTTAAGAGAACCAGAGAGAGAACAAATACAGAAACAAACCCAAATTATAGGGAGGGGGAAATGCAAAAGCTGAACTACCCAAATGATTTCTTTTGCCGGAGAAGGTCTGGATGGGTGCCTCAGACCATAACTCTGTGACCTTGGGCAAGTCACCCACCCTCTCGATGCCTCAGTTTCCTCCTATGCAAAATGAGGGAGTTGGGCTCAGGTCCCTTCCAGCTCTAAATCTGTGATCCTCTGATCCTTCCTGCCACACCGACAGGGGTCGCCAAGAGTCACCATGCAGCCACCGCCGCGCAGCGATTACTTAGCGTAGTAGCGGGAGAAATCCTTCCCCGCGGGAGTAGGGGCAAGGTTAGCGCTTTAGCGTAGGGTAGGGGGAGGGAGAGCGGAAAGAAGAGGGAGGGGGGCGTAGACCAGCGAGGCTCTGCCTTCCGCAGTGTCTGCAAACTTAACCAGAGCGGAGCCGGGCGCACCGTCGTGCAGAAGTGAAAGTTAGTGCACTTAATTTTTTATTTTTTAATATTAGGTTTTTGAAAAAATATGTATATTTTGGGCAGGGTTGGGAGTAGAAGCAAAAATCTGGTCTTTGGGCATTTTGAGTGCCGTGGAGGAGGGATCGATACAGTCTATTCTTTCTCCCTTTTAAACGGATGCTTACATTGTGTGAAAGGTCCTTGCACTTCATTTGGTTCCGGGGGTGTTTTGGGAGGGGGTGGGGGAGGGAGAAGTGGGGACTGTGGGCGTGCGTGTGTAATGTGTGTGTTGCAGAGGTAGTGGCGGCGGCGGCGGTGGAGGAGAGACGAGCTAGCGAAGAGGAAAGGAGCGTAATTTCAGCCCCATCGGGATTGCAGGGGCTGGGAGTTGAGAAAAGCCTAAAATAAGAGTTTTGGTAACGGGGAAAGCAGCCCTGGCTCCTTCCCCGTCCCATCTTTCCCCCCTTCTCTCCGCCCCTTCTTCCAGATTGCCTGTGGGAAACAGAGGAGGCTTTGGTAAAGTAGGAAACCAGCCTAAAATGGCTCTTTGCTCGTAAACTGCAGTTTCAGCCGGGAACACCTCCCCTCCTCCTGACGTCGCTTATGACAAGCAAAGAATTAACTCCAACTCCACGAAACCTGCAATTTTTTTTTTTTTTTGCATCGTGGTTGTATAATGGAGGTGAAAATGCATTCGTGCGTGTTTATCAAACTCCTTAGGATACGTGTGCATGTACGTGGGTGGGTGGTTGTGTGTGTGTGTGTGTGTGTGTGTATGTGTATGTGTACTTTTCTTTCTTTTGGGAGAAAGAAAACCAGGGGGTTGGTTGTTAAGAAGTCGGGCCAGACCCACCGCCTCTTTAACTAAGCTACCCTGAGAGCCAGCTCAGCTGTTTCTTTGACTGGCAAGGTTACTAACCAACTGGTGCCAATAAATGGATTAAATGACGTGGAAACGGGGATCTTTACGAGCCGAAGAACTCTCCAACCCCCTTGATTCCTTACCTTGCCCCCCTCCCCCAATCTCCCTACCCCGGGGTACCAGGACTTAGTTTTTTGCAGCTGGGGAGGCCACAGGTGACACTCAAAGCTCAGGGGAAAGGTGGGGAGGAGGTTCCCAGGGAAACAGGAAAGAGCATCCCCAAACTTCTTGCAGTTTCGCTTTCAGAATTCGAATCCCTCGTTGCCTCCAGGATCTTTTATTTTCAGGCTTAAGTGGGGGCTCTAGGGAGGAGGAGAGGCATCAGACATTAAGTTTTGTTGGGGGTGACTTTTTTGGGGGAAATTTAAGTAGATGCCATTCTTAACAAAAGCCCTGCCCTTTACACGAACTTTTTGCTTCTCCACCTCCTCGGGTAAGCCCTGCCGTCATAGATGTATATTTTTTCCTTTGGACTGCGTGCCCCCCTCTTCCCCAAGCCCCCTTTGCCTGGCGCAAGGACGTGGAGAGGAGACAGCCCCCGGCTCCAAGGAGAGCCTTCCCCCGCACCACGTTTTGTCAGTTTCAGCAGTAGCGCAGACTCGGCTGAATCCGAGCGGATTGGTGGGAAACCGATTTCCTACGTAGGGCCGAACCTGCTTTAATCGGGATCAATCGCTTACCCTCCCCCTTTCCCCTAATATGCCTCTAACCCAGTAGCGATTTGGGAACTGAGAAGGCGAAGCCTGTGTCCTACACCAAGTAAATGGATCAGTCTTTTCATCCAGGTGGAAAACCCAGCGAGGGGGCTTAAATCTGGTATGCTTTTTACAGGGGAGGCAAAAAGGGGAGGGGGTGGGGGAAGGGGAGAGGGGAAAGGATGGGGAACTGCTGTGAGCCCTGGGAGCTGGGGAATACGCCCTTGGCTAGTGTAGGAGGTGTGTTACTCCTCCATCCCCCATGCCTCTTTAGCTTTTCTATTTGACACCCTGTCCCACATATACACCTTCCCTAGGAGAAAAAAAAAAAAAGAAACTGGTTTACCTCTAAAAGGAGAAAATTCCTCCCTTCCACCACCTACCCTCTTCTTCCCAGCACTAAACTGCCCTACAAAGTATGTTAAATCTGTGTTCTGGGCCGATAGAGTACCATACTTTTATAACATCACGAATCCCACCCAAACTGAGAACAGTTCCTGAGGCCTTAAATTTGTGATCTTGAAGCCCCTTGGATTCTGTGCAGTTTCTGGCAGAAACGCCAGGGAAAAAATCTCAGACCCCAGGGCTTGGTAATGGTGGGGATTCGAATCATCTCTCATCCCCCGACCCTTCTCTTCCCCACCTCCCCTCAGGGTTTTTGAATAGCTGAAGCTCCCCATCCAGGGCTTATTGTACCTATGATTGGCTGTCTAGCTGGGAACTGAAATTCACCAATGATGAAGAGAAATTGATTGGAAAGAGTTTTTCATCCTTACCTTTTCTTGAAGCAATTATGGACTAATATTTGAACTCTTTTGGCTATAAATAACCCTGGGCTTAGTGCTTTTTGTTCTTTTTTTTTGTTTTTTGCTTTTTTTCTTTTTGAATGGCAGAATGAATTCTAAGGAAGACTTGGTGGCTCGGGATTTTTCCCTTTCTCCTCTTTATCATGAGGAATTGTGAATTACCAGAACCCATTCCTGCC